AATTCTTCCAGCACCATTTATTGTTGAAAGACTCTTTTCTCTATTGAACTGCTTTTGCACCTTATTGAAATTGCCTTTGCACCTTTGTTGAAAATCAGTTGGCCATATATGTGTGCTTCTATTTCTGGACTCTTTTTTTTTTTTTTTTTTATGTTTTGGTAGATGTCAAATAAATTTTATTTATCACTATCCCTAGCTTCCTAGGCCAGCTCTGCCCTTCCCAGTAGCAATGCGTGAGTCAAAATTACTGATTTCTCGTTTCTTTTTTTTCCTATGCAGACTTTTTTTTTTAATTGTTGTGGGTACATAATAGTTATATATCTTAATAGGATGCAGGCATACAATGTGAATTAATCAAATTAGGGTAATTGGGATATCCATCACCTCAGGCATTTAATGTTTTTTTTGTGTTAGGAACATTCCAATTCCATTCTTTGAGTTATTTTAAAGTATGCCTTAACTTACTGTTGATTACAGTCGCTTTGCCATGCTATCAAATATTGTTCGTTCTATCTAACCATCTAATTATATTTTTTTACCCATTAACCATCCCTACTTTATTTCCCACCCCCCACTACTCTTCCCAGGCTTTGGTAACCATCATTCTACTCTGTCTCCATGAAATCAGTTATTTTTAATATTTAGCTCCTACATATGAGTGAGAATATGAAAGATTGGTCTTTCTGTACTTGGCTTATTTCACTTAACATAATATTCTCCAGTTCCACCCATGTTGTTGCAAATAGCAAGATTTCATTCTCTTTGTGGCTATAGAATATTACATTGCATATATGTACCAAATTTCTTTATCTATTCATCCATCGATGGACACTTAGGTTGATTCCAAATCTTGGCTATTGTGAAAATGCACTCGGTCTTCTATTCCGTTAGTCTATGTGTCTGTGCTTTCATCAGTACCTCTTTCTTTTTCTTGATGATTTTAGCTTCATAGTAAGTCTTGAAATGAGGGAGTGTGGTGCCTCTAATGTTGTTATTCTTTTTCAGAATTACTCTGACAATTCTATATTCTTTATCTTTTCATATGCATTTTAGAATCAACTAGTTTTTATCTTTTAAAATTTTTGGAATCCTGATTGGGATTGCATTGAAAATATTGGGGGGAGTCAATATATTAATATTTAACCATATTGGATTTCCTAACCCGTGAACATGGTGTACCTCTCCATTTATTTAGGTATTACTTGATTTATTCCATCATTTTGCAGTTTTTGGCATATATATTTTGCACATATTCTTTAGATTTATACCTAAATGTGTTACCATTATAAATGATAGTTTAAAAAATTATTAGTTCTCTATTTTGGATTGACAGTTTATAGAAATACATTGATTTTTTTATATTAACCTAATGTCCTGTGATCTTTCTAAACTCATTTTTTAGTTGTAGTGCCTCTTTTATAGATTCTTAGGGATTTTCTAAGTATATAATGATATTATGTACCAATAGAAAGTTTTATTTCTTCCTTTCTAATCTATGAGCTTTTCATTTTTTTCCTCCCCTTATTGCACTGGGTAGGCCCTCTACTATGATGTTGAAAAGGAATGGTGTAAGTGGACATCCCTGACCTTGTTATTGATCTTGGGAGGAAAACAATGTTTTTCACTATTAAGTATGATATTAGTTGTAGGTTTTTTGTAGATACTCTCTGTCAGTTTAAGGAAGTTCTTACGTTTCTAATTTGCTGAGACTTTTCATCATGATTGAATGTTGGATTTTGTCAAAGCCTTTTATTCATCTATTACTCAGATGATCATATGGGTTTTTCTTCTTTAGCACATTAATTGCCATGTGAGTTATATTTAACTCACGCTAGTTTTGAGCCCAGGGTCTCATGAAGCAAAACCTGGGCAAAACCTTGCAGTTGGTTTGTGAAAATCTTACTTGCGGGTGTTCTTATTGTTACAATTAATATTGACAATTTAATTCTAAAAACATGGATTAAATGAATAGAAGTCGATAACAAATTTTTCATTAAATTAGAAAGGATCATTTTGTTTTCAAAGTTTTTATTCTATTTTTGTAATAAAACACCATGGCCCAGGAAAAAAAATTTTTTTTCTAGTATGGCAGTCATTGCGTTAGACCGTTGTGATATAGTGAATTACACTGATTGACTTTTGAATGTTGAACCAACCACTCTTGAATTCAGGAGATAAATACCACTTGGTCATGATGTATTGCTCTTTTAAACATATATTAAATACCTAGATTTTATTAGCTAATTATTGGTGAGGGTTTTTATGTTTATGAGGCATTATTGGTTTATAGTTTTCTTCTAATGTCATGGTCTAGTTTTATTATTAGAGTAACTGTGTCCTCATAGAATGAGTTAGGAAGCATTCTCTCTTTAATTTTTCTGGAAGGGTTTGTGTAGAATTGGTATTATTTCTACTTAAGTGTTTAATAGAATTCACCAGTAAAATGTCATTTATGCCTGGAATTTTCTTTCTGTGAATTTCTTTAATAGATATAGGACTATTCAGCTTATTTCTTCTTGAGTGGTAGCTTTATAGTTTATGTCTTTCAATGAATTTATCTACTTCATCTATATTGCTGAATATATGGGCATAAAATTTGTGGTACTGTTTCCTTTTTAATTTCTTTAAAATGTCTGAAGGTCTGAAGTGATTTTTTTTCTGTTTTATTTCTGATATTGGTTATTTTTTCTACATTAGTGTTTTATGAATTGTATTGATATATTGTAAGAATCAGCTTTTGGTTTCATTTTTGGAAGTCTTTGGAGGTGGAATTGTACTCTATAATGAAGATATCTAGGGTATGGCTGCTTTGTAGCTATCAAATATAGATAGAAGTCTGAAGGAAAAATTAGGTATTGGTTTGTCAGTTTAGCATTATAAAAAAAAATTTTATGTTCATTCCTTGGCATGGAATGAAAGGAAAAAGATATATCAAGGGCTCAATTGTTAATGTCATTTTATGAGGTCAGTTAAAGATTGCAATAAAGATATGAAAAGGACAGTATAAATAAATGTTTTAAATTTCCACTGAAAGAAAAAGTAGAGTGAGATCATTCATAAATCCTTTGGTGTAATGATCAAAAAATATGAACTTATTTAGAAATTCTCTCCTCTTTGCCATTGCTTTGTAACTAGAAAGACACGAGATGTTTTTATAACCAAATTTTTCTGATTGCTACCTTAGAAAATCAGGGCTGGGTGCATTGGCCTATGCCTGTAATTCTAGCACTTTGAGAGGCCAAGGCAGGAGGATCGCTTGAGGCCAGGAGTTTGAGAGCAGCCTGAGCAACATAGCAAGACTCTATCTCTACAAAAAATAAGAAAAATTAGCCTGGTGTGGTGGTACACACCTGTCGTCCCTGTTACTTGGGAGACTGAGGCAGGAGGATTGCTTGAGCCCAGGAGTTGGAGGTTGCAGTGAGCTATGATCGTGCCACTGTACTCTAGCACAGGTGACAAAGTGAGACCCTGTCTCAATTAAAAAAAAAAAAGAATGCAGCACTCGAAAACAAGCTTTCTTGATGTGATTTCATAGTCTTCTAGAGCAAAGGTCAACAAACTTTTTCTTTAAAGGGCCAGGTAGTCAATATTTTAGGCTTTACAGGTTATATGGTCTCTGTAGCAACTACTCAACTCTGCTATTGTAGCATAAAAGCAGCCATAGACAATCTGTAAGCAAATGGGTATGACTGTGTTCTAATAAATATTTATTTATGAAAACTGAAATTTGAATTTAATATAATTTTTATGTATTGTGACGTATCATTCTTCATTTGATTTTTTTTCCAACCATTTAAAAATGTAAAAGCCAAAAACCATTCTTAGCACACAGGTTGAATGAAAATAGATGGCAGGCCAGATTAGGCCCACTAGCCATGTTTTACTGATTGCTGTCCTAAAGTTTCAACTATTGCTTATAGCCTAGTTTCTGTCCTGAGTCTTACATACTTTCCCAATATCCACTAAATATCCCTTCAAACATAACAAAAATTAAAATAATTTTTGCCCTCCATGTCCTAAAGTCCTAGACCTTTTTATCCATTTACCACTTTTAGTTAATGGCACCTACATCTGCTTATTGACTATATAGAAATGGGTCCTGAGACTGCCATTCTTGAATAGGCCTTCTTATAAGGTTGGCCGTTGGCTGTGTCTGGGAATTTGGATTTCAGGGGTGTTCCTAGCCTAGGAACTAGTGTGACCATGTCATTCCCTGGACTTAAAATCATTAAAGATACACTAGTAGTTGTAGAATAATGTTAAACTTCTTAACACAGCGTTAAAAGCCTTTATGATTTTTCTAAGGTTTGTCTTTATGAGCTTCTGCCTATCCTCAACATATACTCTATTCTGTGATCATACCGAAGCATCTGCAATTCCCTAAACAAGCTCTTTTATTCCTAAATGCTTACCCACTGGCTTCTTCCTCAACCTGGATTGACGTTGCCTTTCTTAACCAGAGAACAAATTGATACTCTTTTTAAGACTTTAGTCCTAATTTAAAGTCTTACTAGTTCCCTCCATGTTGCTTCCACAGCACTTTGTGCATTCAGTTTTATTCACATTGCATTTTCATTATTGGTTACATTTGTCTACCCTATTTTTAGACTGAGAAATCCTTGAAGGTCAAGATTAGACCTTGTTTGATCTAGAGAGGGCATGGTACTTAGTAGGTGGTGTTTAATAATGCACAGTGGTTTCAAGGGACAAGTAATCTGTCTTCTGATTGATGAAATTAAATGAAGGAAGGAGGGGATAATGTGGAAGTACATATTTGATTTCAGGAAAGTTTACAGATTGAAACTGGAGTATAAGATTAACACATAATTACTTATAAAATATATATTAGGGTAAAAACAAAGGAAAATAATTATTTGTATTTTTTGTCTTATTTTGCAAGAGAACTTCACCACATCTATATTATTATTTTACATAGGTGGGAATGGATATTGTTGAGAAACTGGTAAAAATGATACCCTGTGAGCATGAAGATCTACTGAATATCACCCTCCGGCTTTTACTAAACCTGTCCTTTGACACAGGCCTGAGGAACAAGATGGTACAAGTTGGTCTGCTTCCCAAACTCACTGCACTCCTAGGTATGCTTTTTAAAAATTAATGTCAGTGTTGCTTGGTATTTCCAACATCATTGGAAAATTGAGCTCTGTGTTGAAAAGGCCTCCTGAAGAAAAAAACATTATATATATGTTCTTTGGGAACTAAATAATAAAAATAAGCAGAATACATGAAAAATGATCTGTGCCAGGATTTCCATGGTGCTGTAGAATGAAATAGAATAGAAACGTTTAACTCTTTGATTAATTTACTCATACTGAACCATAATGGAAGTAAGGAAGCTCTGGAAAGTGAGGAAGCAGGGAAGCAAGAAGGAAAAAATATTTTCTCTTCGTCTTTTTAAAAAGCAGGTATCATTTAAGTTCTTACATTCTGCCATACTTTTAAAGTACTACTTAGGAATAAACAAATTTGTGGAAACTTTTTGTCATTAATTTAAGAAGAATATTTTGTATATCATGAGTTAGAATATGTCACATTGGAGGATTCAGTTTATAATAAGTTATTTTGTTTTAGCTACTAGTAAGATATCTATCTATAGCAAGAGTAGCCTCAAGAGTTAACATTCTCCCAAGGTAATGCTCCCAAGGTAATGCTAACCTTCTTAGCAGAGCATTAAAAATCCTTTACACTCTATCCAGTATCTATCTTTATGGGCTCCTACCCCTCCCCAGCATATGCTTTGCACTGTGGCCATTCTGAAGCACTTGCAGGTCCCTAAACAAGCTCTTGTCTACCCGTCCTACGTGCTTTGTTCCTCTACCTGCAATGCTATTGCCTTTCTTAACCAGAAAGCAAATTCTCATCTTTTAACTCTTTGTTCCTTCGTTTCAATATTGTAGTTTCATTCCTTTTTGCAGCTTTCTCCATATATTCAAATATTGCGAATATGTTGTTACAAATTTTGGAAGTTACTCTATTCAGGAGCAATTTCAAAAAATTGCTTTTGGAGAACCAAAGCATGCAGATATTTAAGGAGGAAAAAGGAAAACATAAAAGTAAATTGGCCTTGAATTTAATTCATGTGACCATTTATTATAAATCTAACATAATTGTGTGTTAAATACTAGGTCAAATTCTCAGTGTATGAAGATGAATAAGTTATGCTCATTGTTATGAAGGAATTTATAGTCTGTATGGTTTGCTCAGTATCCAATAACCTGCTTTTATGACATATTTGCCTTGTAACATATGATGAAACAACTGATTTAAAAGAGATTTTTAGGAAATTACTCACATGATACTCATTTCATAATTTGTTAAAAAGTAGTTAATTTGGGGATATAAGATATAATATCCAATATGTAAATTACTACTTCTTTCATCTCCTCTAGTGCTCAATTTCTAGAGTTAGGCTGTTTTATTAGAATTGTGACTCTGTTTATTTCTAACCATGTGTCCTTGGGCAAGTTACCCAAATTCTTTGTGATGTGGTTTCCTCATGTCTAAAATGGCGATAATAACTATATTTCACTTAGAGTTCTTTTGAAGATAAATGAGGTATTGCACACCAAGTGATTAGAACAGTTCCTGACACATACTATTTTCTTAATAAATGTTAGCTATTAGTATCATTTTTCTTATAAACATCATTTAGTATGAAGAAGACATTCTGTAAGTGTTGCTGACTTATCTTTCTCTGAATACAAATACGATGCTCATAGATATTATATCTTTGTTGACAAATTAGGTAGCTTTATTTATTTTTATTTATACTTCTCTGTATATGCTGTTCAATTCAATTTAATTCAGTAGAATGTTGATAATCTACTATGGAAAAGTACAGTGCTGAGCACTACAGAGAAATGTTTTTCAACCTATAGATATACTGGGATTCAAAAGAGAGAATGTTTTCATATTGGTACTTTGTAGATAAGGTACCATTTGAAATGGACATTGAAAAAATAGTCATTTTAACAGGGTAATATCTATGAAAGAATAAGAACTGAGGCTGTAGAAAGTATTTTGGATGAAGTGAACAACATTACCTAAGGCATGGATAGAGCTAGGCCAGTATGAGGAACAAT